AAACGGCTGTAAATTTGTCGCTGCACTGTGCACGTTGGTTGCGTGCCAACGACGTGCAAGAGCTAGTCAGAGCCGGGTGTGACTGCTCAGCTACTAATAGGCGCACCGATCTCAGTTTTAGAAAATCTTTTTATGAGTCAACTGTGTCATCTGTGTCTGTGTCGTTGCGTAGTTTAGACGACTAACTCTGGAGTAGACGATGCGATCGCTGGAACAGGAATTTTATTTGCCTGTTTTGGATTCTGTCGAGAGTCCTTTATCATAGAAATGTGAATACAGTGTATAGGATACTTGGTATACCCTAATCATTACAATCACAAGGTCTGGTCCTGATTAGAAGGAGAATAAAACAAGTGGGAGCACCAATAGAGACATAATCCGTAGAGAATGCCTGTAAATCTGTCACTGCACTGTGCACGTTGGTTGCATACTAATGACGTGCAAGAGCCAGGTGTGACTGCTCAGCTACTAGAAGGTGCACCGACTTCGGCTTTAGAAAATCCTTTTATCCGTCAACTCTGATGGTTGGAAGCGTCATACCGGTCTCATGGCGTGAAGGCCTGAAGACCGAGATAGAACGGAGGCGTTAGAAACGGTGTAACCTTGTTTAACTACAACTCAATCTTGTGCAACTATCCATTACGCCCTCAGAATGGCGCTGATTGTCGTTGATTGCGACGGGGCAAACCACAACCACAGTTGAAACACGCCTAGCTGTCCCTTTTGTCAGTTCCATTCGAAATGTGGTGGTTTTCGGCGGATCTTCCGTATAGTAGAAGTTACCGTGCACTCAAACAAGTATTTGAACATTTGATTTGCCATCGAAAGACCTGATGCCGTCCACGCACCACGGTTTTCGCAATTTGAAATATTCTGGAGTTTAATATTTGTGCTTCACAACGCTTCCGGCGTTTTCGGTAGAAATTTAGTTCGAAGGTGTTTTAAAATATATGTATATTAGTTTAGGTGTAAATTACCTAATAGGAAAGTGGCGACTTTAGTGACAAAATAAAATGTTCTTTCTCATGTATTTTGTCAACCCCCACACGTTGCAATTAGTTCTTTCTACTGCTGCCCGTGCCTGGAGTAACCCGGCTTCCGCCGAAAATCTCCAGTTCACAGATTGTCTCCGAAAAACAATAAAGAGCGACACTTATATTTCTTGTATCGCCACGATTGACAGTTATAAAAATCAGGCCCTATGTGTTAGAATCGTTAACTGGCTAGGTGTGTAGTGGATACTTGGTTTCTGATTTTGTTGTTGACCACATAATCAGCTGCGCAGGGCCAAATAGAGACTATTTTATTCAAAATGGTGTGTTTGTGGCAGTCCCTTATCAGTCCTACTGTGCAAACCCATCGTGCCTTCGCTTGTCAAGCCTTTGCATAGTCGGCAGTTTCAATATTCCTCCGCCTGACGGTCCGTTCCACGCTCCTTATCGATCCGCTCTAGAGCCACGTGTGTTGTCCCTACCCTCTCGGGAGCCCGAAGCTAATCAGTGTGCACCTTTGCGTGATTGGTTGCAGGTGACAGAGAAAAGTCCCTGGCTCCTGTAATCCCGTACACACACAACA